CTAAAATGTACAAAATATGATGAGCCTGTACTTGTGATCTATCACTCCATTCATATTTTTTGGATTTGCATATACAGGGTGATTCAAGAAAATAAATGAAAGCGTAAATTTATTTTACTGATTTACTCAGGAACTACAAAACCGAATGCTTCGAAATCTTGAAGATATTTTAAAATTATCATAAGCATGGTAAATTTTTGATCAAAACGTATTTGGTCGTCCCCCCTAAAAAATTTATGATGTCACCACAAAATTTTGCTGAAAAAATCCTATCTAAAATGTACAAAATATGGTGAGTCTCTTCTTGTGATTTATCATTCCATTCAAATTTTTTCGATTTGCATAAACAGGTGACTCAAAAAAATTAATGAATGCGTAAATTTATTTTATTGATTTAATCAGGAACTACAAAACCGAATGCTTTGAAATCTTGCAGATGTTTTAAGGTTATAAAGAGCATAATAAATTTTTAGTCAAAATATATTTGGTTATCTTCTACAAAAAACTGATGACGTCAGCTCAAAAGTTTGCCGAATAAATCGTATCTAAAATGTACAAAATATGATGAGTCTGTACTTGTGATTTATCATTCCAATCATATTTTTGGATTTGCATATGCAGGGTGACTCAAAAAAATTAATGAAGGCGTGAATTTATTTTATCGATTTAATCAGGAATTAGAAAACCGAATGCTTTGAAATCTTGGGAATATTTTAAAGTTATGGTAAACTTTTGTTCAAAATGTATTTGTTCATCCCTCCTAAAAAAATTGATGACGTCACCCTTAAATTTTGCTGAATAAATCCTATCTAAAATGCAAAAAATATGATGAGTTTGTACTTGTGATTTATCATTCCATTCATATTTTTTAGATTTTCTTAAGAGGTGGTTCAAAAAAATTAATGAAGTCAATTTATTTTATTGATTAAATTAAAGGCAACACTTATTATTAGTATTACACCCCAACCAACCCAATTTGGTAGACACAAAATTTGTTAAAGGAAAAACTCGGTTGTAACATAAGGGTAGCACGCTTATTTACATCGACTTTAACATTACAGACCTGCATTTGTTTTATGCGCCCACTTGGTTCCGCGAATGTGAAATAGACATGTTTATAATCAACCAATTGTGAATTTCACCGTCAAGAATTAAAATAAAACCCAATGTTTTATATAATAAGCGGAAGTCGAAGCAATAAAACCGATGGTCGTTTTGTTTACAGTTTCTCTGTTTGACTCTCACGTATGCTGTTACGCCTGTCATCTTAAATTAAGAATGTTTATACATACACGATTTTCAGTTGCCTCTGATACGTATTGTTTCGTTATTTTATTGATTATTACAAATCAATATTCAAAACGACCCAATTCATTTTCCCGAAAATTTGAGAATATAATAATTTTATTCTTAGTATTACACTACATCTATCCCAACTGATATACGTGTCCTTGCAAAAATGTTGATGACGTCATCGCAATTTTTTTTAAAATCCCACTACAAAAATGTAATGAGAAAAAAAACACAATAGGCATGCAGTCGTCAAGTTTCCGACAGCGAGGGAAGTACTGTCTAAACTCTTTAGACCAATTTTTTATCTTTGATTATACTTTGTCGGTGTTTTCTTCCTAGACCTGTCATTTCCTTGATTTTCTTGTGAAGATTGAAATTGTCATAATGAGCAGCCAGATTTTCAATTTCACTGCACTTCTGCTCCATGTATCTGTTCTTCGCTTCTATTATCTTTCTTTATATGACTTTATGAATTTCACGATAGTTTTGAATATTACAATGTCCCTTTTGTTGCCTTCTTTTTTCCTTAAGATCATAAGTTTGTTTATCGCTTGTCAGTTTATCTTTGACTGAAACTAAAATAGAATCTGTAATGTTTTTCCACTTTTTATTTATATCTATCTCCTGTGCATTGAGTTTTAAGATTTTCTTCACATTTTCTCTTTTTAAGGTTTACTTTTAAGCTGGGAATGAGGGAGTTATGAACTGATTTTATATCAGCTCCTGGATATGCCTTGACGGAGAGAATAGAATTCCTGTATCTATGCTCTATTAAGATGTGGTCGATATGTTTTCTTTTCAGTATAGCGTGGTGATTTCTCTGGTCTCTTAGTAAGTTTAGACCATATATTAGTTATCATACTATGTCTTCACCCACTTTCGCATTTAAATCGTCTAGTATCGGTGTCCCATCTCTCTTGTCAATACTTTGAAGAACTTCCTCTACTTGGTGATAGAAATCTTCTATCTCATCGTTGCTTTTTATCGCTGTAGGCGCGTAGATTTGAAATATATTGATGCTTTTCTTTTGGGCTTTTTTATTTGTAAAAGAATTATTCTTTCTGAAATTTGTGTTACATTGGTTTTGATTTCCTTTCTTATTATAAATCCTACTCCGTATCTGTATTCTGTGTCATCGGCGCAAGAGTAGTACATATGTTAGTTGCTTGTGCCTTTCCACTGAAATTCTTTAATTACGCTATGCAGTTTTCCAGTTTGATATAAACTTCTCATATTCCATGTTCCCACTTTGGTCATGTCGTTCTTCTTCTTTTTGACTTTGTTTAATCCCCACGATCCGAAAAGGGGAATTGAAACTCCGGAACATTTTGCTGTAAACTTGGTCATCATGATTTTACTAGGAATATCCTTTCATATTCCTAGTTGCTTCCTACATCCTTATGCGGTTGATCGGTTAAGATTCTTCCCCCTTTAGGGACGATTTCTCGTCCCAAGGACAAAAGAGTGCCCTTGCTCTTACTGGCTCATCCACCAGAAGCTGTTGGCCAGTAAGAGATGGTTGCTTATCCCGGCATCCGTTCGGTCCCTACCTGTGTTAGTCACCAAAGTTGGTGTCCGCCTTCTACCACGTGGAGGTACAGGTTCGGATTGTTCTTTCATCGAGGTTAAGACCTTTTTGGCTTTTCCTAACCTCTCCAGAACTTTAGAAGGCAAAGTGCAATATAACAATGCAAATAATTTGGTTACCAGTTGGGTATACAAGAAATATTTTCTTTATTTACAGCTGCCTGAAAGAGACAGTTTTTAACGTTGACAACGATTTTCTTAATTTATGGCACATATGTTCTTCGTTATGGAAAGCCTTGGTTCAAGACTCTTCGAAAATATGAGGTTATTTTTGTACACGGTGCTCACATTACCTTTCCTTCAGCTACCCTGCAATTTTTTTTGTTATCTTGGAATGACCAGAAAGGCAACAATTTGATCTGTCGGCATGTTTATAATACTTACTAGCAAAAGTTTCAAATGCACCTAAATTAATGCAATTAAGAGTTCTTGAACTTGCCTATCCATCTAATTCTAAATCCTGTGGAAATACAGGACATGCTACGCTGAAATTATTATTTCTTCAGTTGTAATAACACCAAAAGTAACAAGTTTATTTGTATTTCAGCCGACAGCCGCTATAGAAATAGTAGTCCCGGCACTTATCCCCAACAGGAGAGATCATATGTCGCAGCAGGTGAACGTTTTACAATCTCCAAGCTTCAATCGTCAAAGCAGTCGTTTCAACTTTTACGTCTCGCCCAGTGTGGCCAATCAACTCTTTATTTAATTGTGTATGATTCAATAGCGTCTGGCTTAAGATGCCGATACGACGTAAGTGAACTTGAGGCCCGCTGGGAATGTATCGCAAAAAGCTGTATACTACCTGCTACTCTTTCAGAAATAAAAATAAAAAGGTCTAAAAACGTGTACTGCATGGAAAATTTTCTCATTTAACACAATCGGATAAAACGTAAAACTTATAAAAAGTATTCACACCAAATCTTATCGCGGGAAGAGAAGCTAGACAGGAACACCTGATTGGTGGATACGAAATTGCGCCGCCCCATTTTTTTTTTTAGGTTTGACCGATTTGTCGCTAGACCGTTCGACTGCTCGACCGATCGTTAAACCAAACTTTTTGATCTGTAAAATTTCCACATTAAGGTACTTTAATTTTAGTACATTTCACCAAAATATCGGCTTTTTAGTAAAATTTTGTGTGACAACTTCTTCTAAACTAAGAAAAACTATTCAGATACAACCATTTCAACGCAGACATTAAAAAAAAGTTTACAAATACGGTCAAGATTAAAAAATAATCTTTTTTTACAAAGAGAACAGTTAAAGAAAGCAATATCGGTCACAGTCTCATTTGCCGCTTCAGTAACCGAAGGGTTAGAAAAAGTTTTCAAAAGATTCGCTATAAAAGTGATTTACTCTTCCAAACCGACCCTTCAAAGGCGTCCCGACGATGCGAAGGATAAGAGGGTTGAAAAAAGCTATTGATTTATGAAATCAGCTGTAAAGGCTGTAATTAAAAATATGTCCAGTAAACAAACAACATGGTCAAGAGCACATTCTTTATATAAAGTTTGGTAGAACTGGAAATCAATAAGTGCCGCCCAACATATTTGTTTATCATTATTTAGGGCTGGCAATGGTTTTAAAAACAAGAATATAATTTTTAACACTGATGCCTTTCCTTTTCCTTAGTCCTTGTCGAAGGAGGGGGAGTCACAAGTTTAAACGTCCTAATACAAAAAAAAATTCGCCATTTTGTGTCTGCTTGGTTTTTTCGAGATAATGCAATGAAAACGCCGCGACATTGATTCAACACTCATTTACTTAAGTGGTTTACTTCCACAAAAAGACATTACAATATTAATATGGTAATTCAGTAAAATTTTTCTAGCAGACAAACTCATAAATGTCAGCTTATCACACTATAAATCAGCTGTGTGTCTTATTCTGCATGTTGTGTATTATGTGTTGCATAACCTCTCTAATTTTATTATTTGAAAATGTGAATTCGTATTTGTTTTTACATCAAACACTCTAAACAACATTTAAATGTAATAAAATAAATATGTCAGCAACACTCAGTCGTTTTTTAACCCAACTCAGCTAATTACGTTAAGTATAATTAAAAAAATACTGTCTTGCGGTAAAAAGTATAGTTTTCACGATAAAAGAAACAATTTCACATTGCTAAATATTTATTATCATTTAAAATCACGATAACACGAGGAACTTGGAGAATTAATCTCCAAACACTGGTATAAATAATACATGAAGTGATACAAAAAAGAATACAAATCACTAGCAAGACTTTATCCAACTGTGTGTGCTCCATCTATAAACAAGTGCATTTAATAAAACGGTTCCCTGATTAATAAACTAAGGCGCTTAATATCCATCAATTTTCTAGGCATCAGGCTTAAATACGCAAAAAAAGCTGTACAACAAATAAAGACTACACAACCCATTTTAAGTACAAGACTTTTGACTAGCTCAACAGAACGCAACTAAATGTGAAGTAACAAAAAGAGAATAAAAACACAACAATCTTCAAGTGTAACCTCCTGCTAGAACCACGAGAAATACCCTTTTTTCTCCGGCGATTTTGGAGATTTGGGCGAAGTTGGGGTTACACTTCCTGATTTTTGTGATTTATTGTCGCCATCACCTCCACCATCATCAGGGTTTGTCAAAAGCGAATTTGTTTGTTTTTGTAGTTTAGCTTCATAGCGGCGCACGTCTTCTAAGGTCATTTCATGCCATTCATCAATCCAGGTGAAGGCCTGTCTATGACCCAGCAATAAAACTTCTCTGATACACTACAAAAAAAAAAATGTTAACTGGGATTGCGCAATTACTTAAGTCACTTACTGAGTGAATAAAGTCTTCAACTTTGGTTTGGAAACCAAACACTTCAAATGAGGCATTTACTAGTTTATAAGAACACATAATTGGAGTGTAATTAGCCCGCCAGCCCTCAATTAATGGTCCTCTTTTTGTCTTTTTAGACTGGAAAAAGCGAGGATCTTCCTCTTCCTTGTAATGCTTAGGACTCAAGTCATCATATGCAATATCGATATGGTCAACAATGCGTTCAGCAAGTTGTTCTGGGGTTAAACTTAAACACTACAAACTGAAAATAGACACCAATTTAACCACAACGTACTTACGTTTTCTGTACAACCATTATTGTTTTCATACTTTGTTTTAATTTCTATGTGAAAACGCGGAATGAATGAACACTACAAACACAATTAAAAAAATTGTATGACTTAATCACCACACTTACAGTATATTCAGTGATTGTGTATGGATAATAATTCCATGCTTTCTCAGTCACGTAAAATATCTTTGGAATAATAGCTTGAATCCAGTATGGTAGACGGCTACAAGATTTTTCTCTTAATCTTATCAAACACATTTTTAATAATCAAACCTTGATAAGTGGATACGTTTTTCAGTAAATTGTCCGTTCCCATGCTCTGGATCTACACATGTTTTATTTTCCACGACTTCCACACCCTCACCATCCCCCGATTGCTCCAAACTGTGTCTTGCGATCATGTAAAGTTGCCCCACTCGATACTAAAACCCCAAATTACAAAAAACGAATAATTATACACCGGATTCACCTCCTCCACAGTAATGGGCATGCAAACCCTGTATTCCTTCGTCAGTACCATTTTTTAGCCGCAACGTGTACCGCAAGTGCAATTATTTCATTATTTACAAAAATTTGACGTTTGATTAAACAAATGACAGCGCATGCCTCCAGAGCAGCCAACCGAATTTCATTCCTCGCAATAAATCCAAATTTTCGTGAAATTAATCATGTTAATCGCGTAAACAGTCCGCATTTTATATCCGTCGACATTTATTTATTGTTCTGGTATTTCGGGCGGTTTATTTGTTTAAAACAACCTTGGCTGAGAGATTTCGTGGTACCAACTGAAAGCGAAAGTCCCTGGTCCCCGATATGTCAACAATGTCAAAAATTGTCAAGATAAGATTCGCTACTGATGTGGCTTTTAAATCCTGAATTTCCACTTCAAACGATGGCTGATTCGTGATAATTGTTTAGTTTTAGTTCAGCCATGGCTTATCAAACCTTACGAAATGAATATATACATATGCCCCCCGTAACGAGGGCGTATACGACAGCATGTGTGATAACAACTCTAGCTGTGGTAAGTGGTCCATGAATCGCGAGAACTGTGAATAACGGTGTGATTTGAAGCAATTGGAGCTAGCGTCGCCCTTTCAACTCTATTTCAACCCTATTCTGATACTAAAACAGGGACAAATATGGCGATTAATAACGACATTCCTGTTCTTTGGAACTTTCGGATTCAATTTCTTTTTCAACATGATATTTACGTATAGGTATTGTCGAATGCTTGAGGAGGGGTCGTTTAGGAATAGAACAGCTGATTTTGTGATGATGTTTTTATTTGGTGGACTGTGTATGATTGTATCCTTTCATGGTTTGAATTGTGTTTTTCAGGGTTGTATTGTACTTAACCGACACAGATTTTTGCGTTTTTTGTTAATTTATTATTTCTGGGGCAAGCTTTTACGATAATGTTGGTGTATGTATGGTCTAGACGAAATCCATACGTGAGAATGAATTTCTTCGGTCTTCTTAATTTTCAAGCACCTTACCTACCATGGGTGTTGCTAGGGTTTTCACTTCTTTTAGGTAATGCGGTGTATGTGGATTTGATGGGAATTGCGGTTGGTCATATTTATTATTTTATGGAAGATGTTTTTCCAAACCAAAGAGGGGGATTTAGGATACTGAGGACTCCACACTTATTGTAAGTTATTTTATAAAATTGAACCTTAAAAACTGTGTTTTTTCAAGACAAACACTGCTTGATGAACTACCAGAGGATACAGATTATGTTCCACCCCCTGAGGAAAGACCAGGGGGTTTCGAGTGGGGTAACCAGAATGAGGAGGTTAATAATCCTCAAGAAAATCGTCAGTGATACTAACCTAGCGTACAATTTCCGTGTCTCAAGCCAGTGTAAATTACCCTCACATAAATTAATTTGTATACTTGTTTAATAATAAAAGAATTTATCTTACTTGTAACAACTATTTATTTAACTAAAGATTGCGTTCACAGAGTCTTGCACAAATAAAACGAGTGATGAGTATAGACTTGTATGATTTTAAACTTAAAAAAAATAATCACATAAAAACCTAAATATTAGGTTTGTGAAATGATTTGGTTTAAAATCGCGTTTGTTGTCTTTTAGACACTAAGTAATAGCACTTCAACTTGCCTAAAGTAAACTCCGTACAACGACGCCCTCTATCGAGAAGCATGAGCAAAAGCACTACACAAGGCGTTCATAAATAATAAAAAAAAAGAGTATAGCAAAAAAGGAACCGATTACAATAACTTCGTTAATTAATTGTAATAACCGGTAAGCTGTACTTCACTTTACACATACAGCTGTAAACCTGATTCAGAAACAAAATTAATGCTAAATAAAAACCCACATCACATTCTTAATCTTGCGTCATTTTCCTTCATATTGCGACTGTCGCTAGTAAGACGGTGATGTCATCCGGTTTCCCACCTGAAATTAAATTGCATAATATCGGTCTTTGTTCCGTCCATTTCTTACCGATGGTGTTGATACCGTTGGCAAAAGCACTTTCGGCAAATGGTGAAATGAACGTTTCGTCGAAGGATAAATTGCGAGCCATCCACGCTATGGAGTTGGCTACCATCTGAAGCCGACTGGCGCACCGCTCGCCTTGAACCTGAAACGTTTTTGTTTAGGATTTTTACCTTTATGATGAAGTGATTTAGGGTTCAACAAACACTTAATTTATTCAAAGTCTGGCTGAAAGTCACAGCTGACAAACAATGAATTTGCAAGTCAAAATTTCGCAGAAGACGATAAAATAGAAGTGTCGATGTAGTTTTGGGTGAACAATGAACGTTACGATAACTAATAATGAGTAACACATTAAGAAATAATTAGTGGGTGCTGTTGTTTGATTTTTTATCGCGATTAATTGCCTTTTTATGTTGAAATTACCGTTTTCATAGGTCAATAAAACGGGCTTATCAACCAACCATATTTTGTAAACCTTGTAATTTGAGTTGACGGTCTTATAATTTGCACTTTCACAGCGCCACCTAGTGACGGGCGGAAGTTGTACGACACAGACCTTTGAACCTAGTCGTGTTTGCACAAAAAAAATCGTTTTGCGATTTTTATTTTTTCAGAAATATGTCGTCAAAAACTGACTTAAACTGACTTCTCCAAATTTATGATGAAAATGGCGGAAGCAACCACTTAGTTTTAATTTCCCTTGATAATGGCAATTTTGTGGGCAAAACTTGTGGTTTGTTTATCGTTTCACTGGCCTAGAGTTGATTAACTAATCAAGAAAATGAGTCCGTTTGATCTTCTACTCTGACTAAAACTATTGGTTATATTTAGATACAATTCTACACTACTTTCGATCACTCGGAAAAAAAGTAGCTAACATATTGGTGATAAAATTGATCAAATGTCATCAAATATGTATGTAAGTGTTCGTATTTCAATTTCTTGTTTTCCTTTTCCTTTCACAAAAGGAGAGAAGAATATTTAAGGAAGTACTACGTGAATTATTAAATTGGTCCAATCGTTACGTATGGTTTATTTTCATAGGGTGACACTTCGCTAGTTCCGTATCCGATAATTAAATATATAACATTTACTAATATTTAACGACTACATATGGAATTCTGTTATGTCCAAAACAAATACAACTCATTTGCCATGAAAAATAAATAGATTTACTACATTGTTTGAGGTAATCCGTTATTGTCAACCAACTGGGAATCATATTCACAAACAATGTATCTTTTTTTTTCCAGTTTACCGTTGCATAATACAAACAATTTATGTCCTCGTTTACTTTGTCAAAATATTATCAAAGTTATGATAATGTACTGAATAAACATCTATTTTACAAGACATCATTATTCTAACTATTATTAATGTTTACGTCACTAGAATTAATACAACATTTTTTCACAACAATTTTATCGAAATTATAAATGAGCACTTTGGCAAGATGCCACTTTATAAGTCTTTATTTCTTCGGTAGGTTCATATGTGGTAATTTTATCTTGTATACTTGTATATAATAGATTAATTAAAAACTGGGTTGAATGTTTTGAATTAAAGCCGCTTCTCTTATTTTAGAAAATGTAGGTAACATCTAAGAATAGCACGTTATCAACATCTGTATCAAAAGTTAATTTATTAACGCAGGAACGGTATGAATTTTTCATCGCGATATTCTAATTACTATACGGCGCGTCCTTGGTATTTTGTGGTCAATTATATTGTTTACGAAGTAGTTTAGGTATAACCCACGAAAATGATGTGTTGTTTAAACAAAAACCACAGTTCAAATCTGAATTACAATTTTCGTGTTTTGTCTTAACAGAGTGTGTTCGAAATAGAAATACAAGCAACAATTTGTTCAAACGATAATAATTTAATTCGATATTTCGAAAAAAATAATGTATCTTTGATTTGTAAATAATAACTTCGGGAAATTCTGTAATGGACTCATATTCATGATATCTAATGTCAGGTTTCTAATCTCGGATTTTGTAAAACGTGTTTGGATTTTATATATTAATGATTAAATTTTATTTATTCATCCCCTTACTTGAGTCATCGCAAAAATAAAAATTATATTCGTTAAATGTTTAAGAAAAATTGAAAAATAGATACATATACTGAATCCCATAGTTGAAATCTGAAAAATTTGAAAAATTGAAACATCGGGAAATTAAAATTTTGAAAAATCCAAAAATTTGAATAATCAAAACAACAAAAAATCGTAAAATCCAAAAATTGAAAAGTCAAAAAATGTAAAATATACGCCATTGAAACATTGAAAGATTAAAAAACGAGAAATCGAAATCTCGAAAATTGAAATATTAAATAATTTTAAAATTGGAGAATCGAAGCATCAAAAAATCCGGAAGTCGGAAAAAATAAAAATCGAAAAATCGAAAAACTAAAAAGAAAACGAGAAATCGAAAAATCTAAAATTTAAAAAATCGGAAATTGAAAAATCGAAAAATAGATATATTGATATATATGTACTGAAGTTTGAAATTTGAAAAATTGGAAAATCCACAAATCTAAAATCGAAAAGCCGAAGAACCGAATACCTAATTGAAAAATTGAAGGGTCGAGAAATCGAAACCTAAAAAGATCGAGAAATCAAGACATCGAAGTAGCCCCGGCGAAAAATTGAAAAATTGGAAAACTGAACAATTGAAAAATCGAAACAATGAAATCTCGAGAAATCGAAAAATTGAAAAATCGAGGCATCGAAACATCAAAAAATCGTAAAATTTAAAATTCAAAAATTGAAAAATCGAAAAATTGAGGAATCAATACATCTAAAATCGTAAAATCCAAAAAATGAAAAATCCAAAAATCTAAAAATCGAAAAGCCGAAAATCCAAGAAATCGAAAAACCGAATAATTGAAAAATTGAAACATCGCGAAATCGAAACATGAAAAGATCGAGAAATCAAAACATGGAAATTTCGGTAAATCGAGAAATCGAAAAAGTGAAAAATCGAGGAATCGAAACATCAAAAAATCGAAATATTAAAAAATTTAAAAATCGGAAATCAAAAATTTTAAAAATTGAAAAATCGGAAAGTCAACAGATTGGGCAATAGAAACATTAAAAAATCTTAAAATTTAAAAATTGTAAAAATTAAAATATTGAAAAAACGAAAAACTGAGAAATCAAAACACCAAAAAATCGTAAAAGCCAAAAATTGTAAAATACAAGCCACTGAAAAATTGAAAGATTAAAAAACGAGAAATCAAGAAATCGATATCTCGAAAATTAAAAAAATCGAAAATTAAAAGTTGAAAGATTTTAAAATTGGAAAAACAGATGTCGAGAACCCAAAAATTCGAAAAATCGAAAAACTGGAATCTTAAATAATTTAAAAATTGGAGAATCGAAGCATCCAAAAATCCTCACATCGAAAAATGTAAAATTTAAGAAATCAAAAAATTGAAATAAGTCTAACATCGGAAACTAGAAACATCAAAAAATCCGAAAGACGAAAAATTGAAAAATGTAAAATTTAAGAAACCGAAAAACTGAAAAAAAAACGAGAAATCGAAATCGAAAAATTGAAAAATAGATATATTGAATCGCATAGTTAAAACTTAACAAAATTTGGAAAATCAAAAAATCTAAAAATCAAAGAGTCGAAAAACCAAATAATTGAAAATTTTAAACATCCAGAAATCAAGAAATCGAAGTAGCCCAAACGAAAAATTGAAAAATCGGAAACTTGAACAATCGAAAAATCGAAATATTAAAAAATTGAAAATCAAATATTTTCAAAATTAAAAAACTGAAAAACCGGAAAAGTCAAAAAATCGAAGGATTGGGCAATAGAAACATCAAAAAATCGTAAAATTTAAAATTCAAAAATTGGAAAAATTAAAATATTGAAAAATCGAAAAATTGAGAAATCAAAACAATGAAAAATCGTAAAATCCAAAAGTAGAAACATCAAAAAATTTAAAAACAGATATATTTGAGTCCTATAGTAGAAATCTAGAGAATCTGAAAAATTGGAAAATCCAAAAATCGAAAAATCGAAAATCCGAAAAACCAAGAAATCGAAAACCAAATAATTGAAAAACTGAAACATCGATAAATCGAAACATGAAAAGATCGAGAAATCAAGAAATCGAAGTAGCCCAAACGAAAAATAAAAATTTCAAAAAGGAATAATTTAAAAAATCGAAAGTCGAAAAATTGAAAAATCTCAAAATTGAGCAATCGAAAAATCGAAACATTGAAATCTCGAGAAATCAAAAATTTAAAAATTGAGGAATTCAAACATCAAAAAATCGAAATATATATTAAAAAATTGAAAATCAAAAATTCTAAAAATTGAAAAATTGAAAAACTAGAAAGTCGAGAGATCGGACAATAGAAACATCAAAAAAACATAAAATTTAAAATTCAAAAATTAAAATATTAGAAAATCGAAAAACTGAGAAATAAAACATCAAAAAATCGTACAACCAAAAAACTGAAAGATCAAAAAATGTAAAATATAAGCCTTTGAAAAATTGAAAGGTTAAAAGAGAAATCGAAATCTCAAGAATTAAAAAAATCTAAAATGAAACGTTGAAAAATTCTGAAAATGGAAAAACTGAGATGTCGTGTAATCAGAAATTCGAAAAATCAAAAAACTGAAATATTAAATAATTTAAAAATTGGAGAAACGAAACATCAAAAGATCCTAAAATCGAAAAATAGATATATTGAATCCCATAATTGAAATCTAGAAAATTTGAAAAATTGGAAAATCCAAACATCTAAAAATCGAAAAGCCGAAAAACCAAGAAATCGAAAAAGTTGAAAGATTAAAAAACAAAAAATCGAAATTTTTAAAATTAAAAATATCGAAAATGAAACTCAGAAAAATCGAAAAATTAAAAATTAAATAATTTAAAAATTAATGAATCGAAACATCAAAAAATCTAGAAACTGAGGAAAATCGAAGCATCGAAAAATTGGAAAATACAGAAATGTAAAAATATAAAAGCGAAAAAATCGAATTTGAAAAATGTAAACATCGGGAAATCGATAAGTTCAAAATTTAAAAAATCAATAAATCGAAAAATTGTAAAATCTTGAATGTTCACATTCGAAAAATAGAAACATTGAAATCTTCATAAACCGAGAAAACAAAAAACTGAAACATCAAACAGTTGAGAAAATGAAAATTTTGAATTTTCCAAAATAAAAAAAATCGAAAAATCGAGAAACCAAGAAATCCAAGAAATGAAAAATCGAAAAAAAAAAACTGAAAATTGTCGCATTCACTGATTTTTATTTGAGTAATTCACTCACAACAACAAAGCACACCAAAATATCAAAACAAAATCTGATTGTTAACGGCTACTCTGCTACTGAGGACTTACTCTGCGTTGATACAAACGCATTAATCTAAGAAACCATAAACTCAAAACACACAATTTACGATCGTTGCTGGTTGTTTGATAACTTGCCCAATTCTTTGAATGAGATTTTCTTAATGCAAAAAAATTAGTCGAAAGTTATTTACACATCCTGAAATGCGGTCCAACAAATTCAGCGTCTACGAAAAATTATAAAATCATAAAAATCTCTAAAATCTATAAAATATATGTATAGACTGCCAAAGTACAGACAAACCAATCAAGTGTAATAAAAAATATAATAATAACAAAAAATCAAAATACGTTCATGAAGTACAAATACACAAGGGTTGTTTTACATGAAATTCGCCAAGTGGACACTATTTAATATGTATTAGCTTACGCTTTGAAAGTAAAAATAATCTATGAATTTTATATTTATTTAATTTTGCAAAAATTCTAGGTACTAATTTCGTCAACTCTAAAAAATGTACGATGAAGCAATTAATAACGTAAGGTAATTTTAAATAAACGGTCACAGGAAACCCACTAGCTTCCAAGAATAAGATAAGTACTCAAGGAAACGTAAACAGAAAAATACCTGATAACTAAATGGTTAACGAGGTGATTATTTTTATTTATTTTTTTACAGCTATAAAAAAGAAGCAGGAGTTGAAATAAAACGTCTTTAACGAAATTATAAGCGTAATTAACTGAAAAAATTGTATAACTGAAATATTTAGAGAGAGCTATTTTGTTTCATCAAAGTTTGTTTTGATTATCTTTCCATAGACACTATTTTTCAAAACTAATTAAAACACGGGAAACATCACTCTATTACTCTGTTTAAATAAAACGAAACTTCAGTCCACAAATAACAACTATTTTAGTAAATGAATGTTGGCGCTTGCCACAAAGGGTTAAAATAAATTAAAAAATCACTTCACTTAAGCTGGACGCACTTCAATTACAGTCAAACTTCGGTAACTGGAATTTTTGACAAGTCGAAATCGTGTTCGTGGCACAACATCGTTGTTCGAGTTACCGAAATTCGACTGTATCATCAGTTTTAACCTTGATTAATAAATACGGAAGTACAACGGTACCACATTTTATCCTTCTGAAAATTATCCATGCAGAAAAATTAAATAAATTAAAAATATTCCAACACTCATCAATCAATCAATAACGAGCCGACACGAGGGCAGTTTGTCAGCTCTAAAACATGGAGGTCAAAAAGTCGCTCTAAAAATAAAACACTAATAAAACAATATCTGTGTAAATTTAAAAGATACATAATCAATCTGGTTTTCAAAATAAACGCCAAAAAGCTTTTAAAATGACTGATTGTTGCGACGTCAATCGTTGTAAGAATTATCGTAAATTTTTACGACTATGCTGTTTGACACAAGCGTCAAACGCGAATGTCGCAGTCGCCACTAAACCACACACTGTAAATTTACCTGGTTGTAGACCCACCTTTTTCAACTCGTCGACGATTAAATTCTGGGGAAGATTATCGAACACGCCGTCGGTCGCGACCAAAATGACATCCCCGTCCTCCACTGGAAAGTTATCAGTGATGGCAGAATCCGGCTGATCTGACAACACATCCGCTTGATAACCAGGAGGTGGTAACGACAATTGGAAGGGTGTATTGAAATAATGTTGCTGCTCTTCGCTTTTACGTATAATCCTACCCTTCCTCACAACCATAAAGCCACTGTCCCCGATATTCGCCGTATACAGGGTGTTGTTATCACGATTAAGAATGACCACACACGCCGTGCTACTTCCTGAAAAAGCGAACGACGGTTAAGTGCCGATTACACGGATATGCGTCAACCAAGCCAAGATTGCAAAACAACAAATCACATTATTTTGTACGCTTTAACACATTACTAAATATCACCGGTTTTTTTTTAGAATCTTGCATAAGATGAACACTGTGTATGTATTTGTTATTTTATTATTATCTAACTGTGTTGTTTAAGATCTACTTAAGTTTATCTGGCTTTTAGTACGGTATCATTGTCCTGTAATTGGATTATATTATCTGTTGGGCAATAAATATTTATTTATCCGCGACTAAATACATGCAAAGGAGCGAGATGAAGAGTCAAGCGAAGCGGCATTGAAAGTAGGGTCAGCAGGTACAGAAGATCGACCCGTCTGGTGGATGTTTGTTCCTAAATAGACGGGTAATAAATAAACTTTATTTGACAGAAGGTAATGTTTTTATGATAATCCTATGCCACTTTCGTTTTCGACTACTAATCGGGGAAATTTGAAGTGGCAGACGTAACTTTTTAGAATTACAACAACAGTATTACCTTCTGTCAAATAATGTTTATTATCCGTCTAATTTAAGAATAAACATGTGAACAGAAGTGAGATGGAGTGTGTCACGTCAAAGAGCATTGAAAATACGGTCAGGTAGAAAATATCGAGTTTTCCGAGTATTATTGTATTATTTTTCTACGTGCCAATAGCAAACTGAATGTCAGTCAGTTTCGTTTGATCTCTGTTCTTGCTCAATGCTCTTTACGCTTACACAGAGCGTCTTTTTTATTTGACACAGCCTCTGTAACTTTTTTACTTTTGATGATAGGGACTAAAAATATCTATTCGATAGCAAACACGTTTTTTAAATGGAACACTTACAAGAGGCGGAGAAGTCTAACACCTCAGTATAATCTTTAGATTTCAAGAACAAAAAAAACCTAGGGCTGTGTATGTATTTGAACACGTGTAACTGTTGCTTTCGTAGACGACTATTATGACGTCACATTTCCAACGGAAACACCCCGACCTGTTTCTCTACCAGACCTTGCCTTAACGGTGTCCCTTTTTATCATCAGCGCGTAAACAATGCTCAAAAACGTGGGAAAAGAAATTCACGACGAGAAGCGGATGCGGTCACACACGCGAGAATAATTTACCTAAAATTGCTTTTTTGTGGTGGAGGAGTTCGCAGTAGCTCCTGGCTAGCAGGTCTGAGGGGTTTGTTGGGGTGAAACGACCCAGTTTTACCAGACGCTCGCAGGTTCGCATCAGGTGAAGGGAAAACTCGCCCGGGTCGATGCCGTAGGCCCTCCAACCGCCGACTCCATCGGCGACACCTGGAATAAAACCTAGATTCAGAGAATGGCATGGGAACCGCTATTGTGTGTAATTTAAAGTTCCGGACTTTCTTTTCTAAAAAAGTTAACAATGAGTTGCGAAGTTTCGTTGTCATTATGAATGAAATTGTTTTAGTGAGGGAAGTGGAATGTTATTGTTTGAATTCTGCCTCGAGCTGCACGGAGTTTGAAAGCGAACTACTGTGAAAAAGGCCTGCGAGGCAAATGACAGAATTTGCTTTTTGTGGTCGTTATTCAAAGTGTTTGCACTTAAGAGTAATTAATGTAAAGTAAGTGACTTCAGTTTACGACTGAAACACGTCTTGTTCATTTCTCTCATTTTTCTGTGCGAATTTTTGGAAAAAAGCAAAACTTTGCAGTTTTTCTTAAAAACTTTAACCAAAATTTGTCTATGCATCCTCATAATTTTGATGGCGTCACCTCAAAGGTTTATTAACTAAATCCTATTCAAAATCTGTAACATAAGGTGCATTTATGTGTACAGGGTCACTAAAAAGTATGGAAGGAGTTGAATGTTTTTCAAATTTGGGCTGTCCCTATGAATACTCAAGTTCTATTTTCTACAAATTTTTCAAATTTTATACTTAATTTTTTTTGAGATACAGGGCTAATTTGTTTTTTTTTTTTATAGCACTAGTAGTCAAAAGTTCCGTCTTTAAATAGTGCATTTTTTTAAAAATGTAACTCACGAATTTTTTTTTTCCAAGATAGTAAACTAAATTGTCAAAATAAAAATCTGTATTAAAAAATTTTACTAGTGCCCAATCAGTGATATACTTGAGGGTACATAAACTGAAATAAAAATGCCAGCGTAACACATTGATTTAAATGCTGTTTCCAAATAATTTACAAAATATTCTAGAAATAACAATACTCCGATTTAATGATTCCAAATAGTGACTACATTGTCATGAAAGCTTTTTAAAAAATTTGAATACAAAATTACGTCAATGACAAAAATTGGTCGAAAGTTATTTAGGCAGGACTTCCCTCGCCCCCGAAGTGCAGTGCCACAAATCCCGCTTCTTCGAAAAATTAAAAAAATTGATTTTCCGAATTTGTATTCAGTAAAACAAATACAAGAGTATGCTATTTTATAAAATTTATTATAAACATTTTTTAGATGTCATGACATTGACAGGGAGATGGGCAAATTTTGGTTAGCGTTTTACCATCTACACGATAGTCCTAACCTACATGTAAAATATAATCGGTCCGGTAGTTTTGGAAATTATCTACCTGATAAAAATCTAAACAGACGGCACACAGACTGAACCAGGAGATCGAATTTTTCATACTTCTATGGGTCATGAAATTTCGAGAAAACAAAAGTAGCCTATAAAATTCAAGAAATACATGTCTTTTACAAATGATTCTAAGGGCGTAGTTGGCCATGGATTTCAAAAATCCCGTTTCGCTGAAATTATGCCCGTGATTATGCATCATTATGACAGTTCTAATAGTCCAGTCAAATTAGCGATCAACCTCGGAATGAGAGATAATAAGCTGAATTTTCGTATATACCTTCATTTTAGCGTTCTAAAAGTTGTCTCAAAAGTCTCATAAAATCTCGTGTCTGCGTCGTAAGTTATTCAAGGTCAAAGGTGAAGAAAAACAGTTTTTTGCGATTATCTCGGTTTCTATTGCTCCAATGATGTTAACATCTATTATCGTAATTGTAGAGCACAAAATTTGGGACAAATTTTATTTGAAACATTTTTTCATGCGCTCAATCGTTTTTGAGATAGACGGCAGTGAGCGCGCAGCGCTCATCCATACGTACTGTAATGTAATCAACCGTGAATATCTGTGAATACTACCTTTAATTTTGAATAATTTGTATTATTTATCAGTTAATACATTGCATTTAATAACATTTTACATATTTTCAATACATTCATTTAATGATAATGATACTTACCTACTTTGTGGAATGAAAAACTCTTTAAATGAAATACTTATTGTATGTATATCTTAATTTATTGAAAGTAGATTTTAAGTAGAAAAATAGCTAAGTACTTTATCTTTCAAATGTGTAAGTTTTTATATATTAGATAATATATTATACTTGTTATATTATTATATATCTAAAAATTATATTAATTTTTTCAAAGTAAAAATTTAAGGAAGTAAAACGAGTTAATGTATTTTAATTTTATCTTTGTTCAGCACCTGTAAATTTCTTACGATTGAAATTGAATTGCAGTGAAAATCTATAAATCTTTAATAATTTAATGAACAAAAGTATTAATTTTCTTCTTCTTCACCGTCATCTTCTGGACGTTCGGGAACTTCTGTTTCATCGTCATCATCTTCGGTGTCCTGAATCGTTGTTTCCAGACCTTCCAGTTATAATCATGACAGAAAAATAAGTATTTAAAACCTTACACATTTTAAAGATATAAATAAATTGAGATATACAATAAATATTTCATTAAATGCGTTTTTAATTACACAAAGTAGGTAAGTATTATTCAATGAATATGTTGAAAATATGTAAAATGTTTAAATACAATGTATTAATTGATAAATAATACAAATTTTTCAAAATCCAAGCTAGTATCATAGATATTCACGGTTGATTGCATTACAGTACGTATGGATGACCGCTGCGAGCTCACTGCCCTCTGTCTCAAAAACGATTGAGCGCATGAAAAAATGTTTCAAATAAAATTTGTCCCAAATTTTGTGCTCTACAATTATGATAATAGATGTTAACATCACTGGAGCAGTAGAAACCGAGATAATCGCAAGAAACTGTTTTTCTTCATCTTTGACCTTGAATAACTTACGACGCAGACACGAGATTTTATGAGACTTTTGACACAACTTTTAAAACGCCAAAATTAAGGTATATACAAAAATTCAGCTTATTATCTCTCATTCCGAGATTGATCCCTTTTTTATCCTAAAATGACTGGACTAAATGTTATTTGTAACATGTCATTTAAAGTCGTCATTTTTATTGTTTCAATGTTTTTCAAGTGCGAATTACAGTCATTCTCGTTGATCCAAGCTCAAAACAGTCAAACTCTTGGTGGTTGCATACGATTTTTTTTTTGTGCTAGGAAACGAAGACTGTGAAAATAGTTTATTCTGTTGAACAAGACACTTTTATCGTTATGTCTTGTTATCGCAATGGGACTTCGTAAACGAAGATTGTGTGTATTCTGTAACCGCTCGTAAGCAAGAATATCTGGCCAAATACCGTGATTTAATATTTTAAAAAACACCGTTAAAGGCCCACATTAGAAATGTAATCAACAGATTTGTTCGAAGTGGCAGTGTCAACAAAGAGAAATCTCGAGGAAGACTTCATCTGAGGAAATTGTTGATGATTTGAAACGACTTGAGCAAATTGAGCAATTGAACAACGGGTCCAAATTGACGAAAGGATGTTACGGAACATTTTTGAAATTAAAAAGAGAGTGACCATGTGTCTTGAACAGAATGATGAACATTTTCAACATTTACTGTGATGTTTAACTGCAATAAATTTGTTTCTTTTTATCGTAATGAATTAGTTTTATTTTTTAAAAACATATGAAGCGTTTAGGCAACCAGTTACACACATGTGTGATCTTTGTTATCTCTCCGTACAGTTAAAGCTGAGAGGCGGCACGTTTACATGACCTACTGCGACCATATAATCATTTATAGAAACCCTGTATTAATTATATAAAATTTTAATTTTGCGGGGATGTCATCACGTTTTTGGTGGGGATGATTAGACAACATTTTACAACAATCGGTCCAGTACTTTCAGAGATTATCTGTCTAATAAAAATCCGTGACGGCAGACAGAGAGACAGGCAGACGGACGGATAGACAAACAGACAGACGGACAGACAAACGTAAATGGGAGACCTATTTCTTCGTACTTTAGGGGTCACGAAAGTAGAGAGTCAGCCGACGTACTTGATTACAATACTTTCTTCGCTTACGCTCGGGAAGTAAAAATTGCAGAAAATAGAGCTTGAAGATTTTTAAATACAGCCCAAATTTCAAGGAAATCCAACTAATCATTCCGAGATATTCAACTGCTTCCATACTTTTTAGCAACCCTGTGTTGTTACGAAATAAACCCATACGCCGGTCTGGTACGACGCCTATGGCTTTTTCGACGCTTTTCTAGTATGTTCGTCGGTGACGGCGACCGGGCGGCGTTCGCTAAAGAAAAGTAAGGAAGCGGAAGTCGCAATGGGTACTCTAGAAAAACCTCGATCGCGGAATATCTAGAAAGGAAGTATGGGTTTAAATATAGGCCACCTCTGGGAACGAGGCATTAAGTCAACGAGTGGAGTCCAGTCAAATCCATTCCAGTCGGAATTATTATCGATCAACGTAGCACTATTAATCACATTATTTAACTGACGATAAAAGGTTAAAAATATTTCAGGTTCGACGAAATCTTATCCTACAATTCTCGGTAACAATCTCACTCTATTTTTATTTTTTTATCTAAAAAAGTTCAGTACAAAATACTTAAAAGCACAAGCTGGCAAAATATTTAATACATGTAGTAATATAAAAATACTTCACTTTTTTTTCTATGTTCATTAAAACACAAACACGTTATTATTACTACAACACCGAAAACTTCAACTGCCTGCGAAAACGACGAGCTTTTAAACAGTGTCACGGGGAAAACAATTAGTTTAGCGATAACTACTCTTGCAATTCCTTGACTTCTCCAAGGTCTTGTATGCTTATGTTTTATTTATGTAATTGTTAATTGGCTGACAGTGCAAGGTTCATTGAGCAAAAATTCTATTAACCTATATAATCTCTAAAACTACCATATCGACAACTCTGAAATGCACCTATCTTTCCCAAAAACTGATGACATTCAAAAAATTTTTAAATTTTAAACTTGCAGATTCACACTATACGTAACTAAATTTCAAGAAAATTTGAAGGATTTTAGTTCAACTTGGTTTTTAACGTAACTATCTATTACAGTTTTTGGGGATGTATTT